TGTTTTTGAAGCTGTTTTTATGATTATTATGGCTACGGCATAAAAGCCGTTAAGCTGAGAGGGTAAAAGCGGCCCTGGTGGCGTAACGGATAGCGCACTCGCCCGGAAAGCGTGAGGTGCGGGTTCGACTCCCGCCTGGGGCACGACTTTTGCCCACAACTCAGCATTCTTGTGATAACAGACATTTGTATTAACGTTGGGTGAAACAGGTGAGGGTTTCGTACAAGAGGGTTTAGGGGGCAGAAAGACAAAATTAACCCAACACAACGACAATGTTAGAGGTAAGCAAGAATCGCATAAAAATGGGAGCACTGAAACTTGGCAAACCGACATAAGACGTAACGACTTGAGCTGTACCCCATAGAAACTGCTAGTAAAGGTCAATTGTGAGTAAAGAATTGGATAGTCAGCGCCATTTCTGCCGTCAGTTTGGCAAACTCTGAGCTTCGCTGAACATAGCCTACCAATGCTAATTAGCGCGTGCTCAAACTAAAAGTCCGAAATCTGTTCTTGTGCCCCTACCAAGCCGAACTGCGCCAAATTTCGTTTGGCAGGGGAGAGAGAGAGCATATGTCATGAAGAAGGAATAACAAACTGTAAAAGATGGAAGAAATGCGACACGAATGGATTACCATAATGGACCTCGAATCATTAAGACAAATAAAATAAATATAAGACAGCCATATCCTGAGAAAAAAAACTCGCGCTATCAACCGAATAAGAGAACGGTCACATGATGCGTTAGGGCTTCGAGCGTACGCTGATGTACGCGGAATCCATACCTATCCTTTCCTAGGACTGCGTTCATACTTTGCGGCAGGGTCCACCTGCGACCCAGCGTTTCAAGCGCCGTCAGCGTCAGCGAATAGGAAACCATAGAGATCTATCCAGCGAACGGCAGCATCATCCGGCGACTAGGGAAGTATCGGTATCGATCTACGAATGCCAGCGTCCTCCAGCTTCCACCAGCGCCTCGATGGACTAGGGAACTATGGGCATCTATCTAAGAGACGCCGGCCTCCAGAAGCAGAGAGTATGGGGAATTAGGAGGGAGCAGACAGTTGGACTAGGCCCACAATACAGTACGCTAGATTGCATATTTCTGAGCTTCAGCGAGTGTACGGTGCGGTTGCACACGCAATGTCCGTGACGCCTAGTCCAGCTGTCTGCTCCATAACACTGCCCATACTCTACCAGCAGTCTGCCACCCTCTTACTCCCCCATACTCTCTACTGGACGCTGGTGACGCTGCCGTTCGCTAGGTCGATACATATATACTTCCCTAGCCCGAGACGCTGGTGGCACAATTTCAAAACGCTGACGCAAAGTATGAAAGCATCCACAAGAAAAAGTTCGCGCTTGTGATAATTGTTACGGTCTCACCGAGTATTATGTTCATCCATTTCTTTCCGTTCAATCCAATTATTGCAGCATCAGCTTCACTGGCCATGGAAAACTGTACGAATGCATAACCTTGCTGAAAATAGAAATGACCACCTCTGGATGATTACTAATCAATATACTTGAATGAACCTTGAAATGATTGAGAGCAAGAACAGTTCCAAACGGCCTACAAATGCCAATAAGATCATCGCGTGTGATTGGGGTACCAGAAAGGCGTCCTATAAAGACTCGTGACCTCATCAATACGGGGTCTTTAGAGTTTGTATCAAACCCAACATCTGGGTATGCAGTGGAAGGTACAGGAGGCACAGACCTGGAAAACATAGTTAAGGGGTTCATTCTTCTCCTATCAGAGGAGAATGTAAGAGATATCGTGATAAGCTCTAAAAACTTACATGTTCATGCCAGGATTGAAAGGCGTAGCACACGGAGGCGGTCCTACCGTACTGAAAAGTGGCGGTGGTTGGGCTCCAAAAACCATAGGCGACACGAACGGTGAAGGAGGAACCGCCATTTGTCCCATAGGAGTGGAATGCGCTTGTGCGCTGGACATTGTGCGGGAAGCTTGCGTATTATCGAAGTTGAATTGCTCTGAAATGAGCAGTAATGGGAGAAAGATGAAAGCTCTTATACTCTCATTACAAAACAGAACAAGATAACACAGTTAGAGGGGGCCACGTTTCCGGGGTGGGGCGACTCTGATCAAAACATTCGAGGCGAAGGCCCATTTCGCCCAGACTCACGTTCGTCGTTGTTTTGGCTTATTTTTACAATTTTTTCTTCGTATTGATGTGTTAATTGTGTAAATGTATGCTAGCAGAATATAATCAGTCGCAAAAAAAGCAAAAAAATATGCGCGTGTTTTCGCAATAGTGTACGAATGACCGAAAACAGGGGTTTCGCGTGTACTCCCGGGAGTACACGCCGCCTCGAACGTGTTAAGTGTGCTCCTTCTTCCTCTCGCCGGTCGTGTGTGACAGATCATTCCATCCCAAGGCTTCAGGCTGCAGCACAGCGCCTGACCGAGAGTTCGCCGCAGGGCACACTTCGGCGTCCTGTTAGCGCCCTTTTCTGCCAGTACGAATACGGCACTATGAGCCGATTTATTCACCCATAAGGAGTGCCGCTCACGGGTTTTGCGTCAGTGCACCGTTCGATGCTCGCAGCTGACTGCCTTGAGCGTTTTTAGCAACTTACGGAAAAGCAAAGAGTGCTGCCCGAGTGTAGTCTACTTAACCCCCAATTCCGCATTCTCTTTCAACCAAACGATTATTAGTACCGCTGTTGAAAGCACGCCCATAGCTTCAACAACGACGATGCATGAACGCTACTCCTACACACGTTACAGTGCGTGTGCGCGATCATCATAGTTGGGGGGTGGGGTTTGGAGATGCTCGCGGGACGACTACGCCTGATCCATTCTCGTCCCAATGCTCAACTTTCGGCCGCGTTCGTATTTTGCAACTTAGAGACGGCGATTCGAGAGATTGTGCGACAAGGAATGTATAGGTATCGATCTGGCGATTGCGTAGATCGAACGACCCGGCAAATCGGGAGACTCGGCGTCTCCGGCGATTGCGCGCCAAAGTGAATGGATATCGATCGGCGCTGGTCGCTAACCATTGCGGAATTCAGCGACCCGGCTATCTTTCAAAACGCCGGATCGCCGAGTCTCCGAAATCGCCAGATCCATATCTACACTTTCCTCGTCGCGCAATCCCTCAAATCGCCAAAATCTCAGTCGCAAAGTATGAACACGGTCTTGAAAAAGGCGAACGACGAGGGCCCACTTGGCCTTGTCTCTGGCGCAGAAAAGCGTCCTAGTTACGCCCCCTCCCCAACTACAATAGCGCCCAGAGCACTGCAACAATTAACTGGCGAAAATACAACTCGTTGTCGTCAAAGGAAATTATCACGACCTCAGTCATCACTTCCAAATGCATCATCAGACATAGAGAGTGAAGATAAAACAAAAGAAAAAACATTTATTGTTGCTACTGTGCAACACGAAAAATAATTCTTTGGGAATGTGCAATGATCTATAGTAAAGTATCTTGAAATATCTGGCAAACCTGCATTGCTTGCCATAAAACCTTGTGGAGCAAAGGAAGCAACATTCATCTATGCCCCTGCAACAAATACATATAATCTCGACATGGAAAAAAGCAGAGTGCAAATACGACGCAACAACAAAGCCTAGTCAGTGCACCAACTCGTGGACAGTATAGTATGAAAAGGTTTTCCTATATCTTAGAATTACATCAAAAGGCAGAAAAAACATCAGAAGCTTCTCTTGGAGGATGCAAATTCAACCCTATCATTCTGTTCCATGCCATCAAACCCATGTTCTATTACCGAGACTTTTCGCGCGAATGCAAGCGAAATAAATATTAGGAAAGCCGTATGTACTGACATAGAAATTACTGCAAAAAAAACCAGTGGTTT